GAGAGAGATTCTTCCATATAAAAACAAAACAAAAAAACCCTATGCTGTAGGAGAATTTATCAGTGAGAGAAAAATATGCATCATAATTGTTTTGCTAAAAAAAGCAGATTATAGAACAGAATGATTCCATTTTTATCTTTAAGAAAACCTGTGTGAAAAAAACCCTTAAAGGATATATACAATATTGTTTACAATGTTGCGGGGTATTGGTGAAGAAAGGAAGGTGAGCCATCCCAAAGAGCTGATTTCTAGAATCCTTCTCAGAAATAAGTAATCACAGTAATATTTTTGAGAGCTGCCTGGCACCATGTGATGTGATACACACACGATATCTCATTTAATTCTCACCCTGTCCTCACAAGGCATTATCATGTCCATCTTACAGACAAGGAAACCAAGGCTCAGGGAGGTTCGGTAAGTTGTGTTGGGTCACACAGCTAGGAAGTGGCAAAGCTGGGATTCTCTCCAGATCCATAGGATTCCAAAGCTCATCTCTTAACCACGATGCTGGTTAAGGAAATAAAATTCAGGCTCCTTATTTGGTGTAAATTGGGAGAACAGGTGATTATGAAGCTGGGCAGGCTACAAACAAAAACTGTTTCGAGGCTGCCCCGGGCTAGATGTTGGCACTTGGAGCGTGAGGGTGGGCGCTTACCTCTGGGAGGTCAGCCTCTGGCCTCACCCTTATAAGCCACAAAGACAAAAACATGAAGCGGGAACAATACTTGTTTCTAAATCTTTATGACTTTTCTAGCCATCAGAGTTCCTAACTCTGACAAAAGCTCAGGACAACCGGAAAGTCTGTGTTGGGGGGATGTGCACCTGGGATGGTGTTGATGGAGCCCAGCAGCTGCTCCACATCAGAGAAGTCCAGGCTCTGGTCTTCCAGGGCAGGCTGCGTGGAGATATCCACGTCTGTTTTTGTTTCCAGGAATTTTCTGAGCCTGTTGGTGTAAAACAGCCATTAGTAAGAATGGAGGGGCATCCTCCCCAGGGCCTTGCTATGGTGCTGGGCCACTGGTAACACACAAAGAGGGCCTGGCTGAACTTCCATTTCTTGAACATACTCCCGGCTGCCCTCCTAGGAAGTCACCAGCGGAGACGGGCCGGACTGGTCTGTGCATTTGAGGGACAAGGGGTGGGCCGTGTTAGAGTGGGGATGGCATGACATGTACCAACAGGCCCAGGTCCACACCCTCTAGCACCCCTCAGGTGCTGACCTGCAAGCTCCCACCCCCACACCTCCCCAGGCCCAGGTGTACAGCCTCTGTGGGGTTTCCTCGCCACAGGGCCAAGCGCCCTCAGCTTGCGGACCGTGGACGTGGCTCTGGGTCATCTTACACCTGCTTCCGGGCAGTCACAGGGTGTATAAGTGGAAGGGGCAGAATCTGAAACCAGGACTGTCTTTGGCCAACACCCATGTTCTGAATCCTTACATCATCAAGCTTCGGTGTTCATGCTACTTTACAGACATACTCAATTCCCACAAAACAATCCCTGTCTGTAGATAAGGACAAGGGGTTCCTCGACTGGTTGGACACCCAAGGTCGTGGGGGTAGCAGGACTTGAACTCCTGTCTGACTCTATGACGTGCGTGCTTTCTGCAGAGCACAGTCTAGGTCCCGGCACAGCTGGGGCACCCTGCGGACACCCTTTGGATCTCGGCTCCTCCTCGTGGTGAAATGAGGGGCTCATGGAGGAGACCTGGCTGTGGGCTTGCTGGCTGGGCCTCACCACACACTCCCTCCCTTCCAGAACTAAGATTTTGAGGTTTGGTATCAGAGGGTCCTTGTGACCCCACTGTTGTTCTGATGTGAGTGCTATTTAATCTTGGGAACAGCCACAAAAGCTGAAACTGGGAGTATATAACCAAGCAAAATTGAGTATGTTTGGATATCTAGAGGTAAAAGGAATTAAAGAGAATACATGTCAGAACAAAAGTATTACCTGTCAGCCATAGCCACGGCATCCTAAAAAGGAGGAGAAAGGAGAAAATACTAAGTTGATTTTGGAAATAAATTTTTTTCAAACTATATAATAATATAAACATATTAAAAATCTTGGAAATTAGGGGGAAAAATATCAGGCATATCACACACAACCACTCTTATGAAGCCTGCGCAGTTTCTTCCGTAACTACTGCTTTTTTCCCACCACCGTTATGTAAGCACTTTGCATGTTACAAATGGTCTTTGGGACCATCAATTTGGAAGGCTATATGAAAGTTCGTTAAATGGGAACTCCATCATTTACATAACTGTTCTTCTGCTGTTGGATATTTTGGTTGTTTCCAATTTCTCACCATCATAAGTAACAGAAGGACATCTTCACATATATCACGCTCTCCACCTTGTGGATTATGTCTCAGGATACCGAGGGATTGTGGGACAACGAGGGACCACTGGTTCCAAAGGTCTGAGCACTAAGGGCTCTACTGGGGCCTGCCAACTGGTCCCTCGCCCCAAGCATGGCTGCAAGCAGGGGCTGTTGGGCTCTGAGGGGCCACAATGGGGCTTGTTCAATGTGGACTTTGTATTTGGTAACCAGGAAGCTGTGGAGGCTGAAGGTCCCTCCTGGTCCTGTGGGGCCTCATTAAGAAAGGGGACCGAGAGACTGAGAATCCCACAGCCCAGCTGCATGGGGGCTTGCTCAGCTCCGGGAAGAGGGGACAGATCTCTAGGTAACCAGGACAGAGGAACAGAGACTCTGGTGTCATCTGAGCAATGGTGGTGGGAAGGGGTCAGCTGTGCATGAGCCTGCCTGGCATGGGTGACAACCTCACCGACATGAACACTGGTGGAGTCAAACAGACGCTGACCATAAAAGTCCATTCCAACATCTCCAGGCAGAGGGGACGATCTGACCTGCTCCGGCCGTAGCTGCCATTTCAGTTCATGATTTCATTTCCCTTCCTTACTGACCTTTATGAAATCAACCTTCTCTTCATGACACATCTCCTCTATTGTTTCCATCAGTTCTTTACAGGTATCCAGGTTTTCTCCACAGCTGACCAGTTGTCCATATAAGGCTTCCAGCTTCTCTTTCTTTTTCTCCCCTAGAGCGTGTATTTTTTCTTCGTATTTTTGAGCAAGTGTTTCTAAGATCTCATTGTAATGGGACTCAAAGTTTTGTTCTTGTCTTCCAAAATTTTCCTGCAAGACAGTGGACCTCAATCATCATTTCAGTACATGTGGTGTCTACCCAGGGATATTTTAGTTTCTCCCCGTTGTCTTATCTTTTGCCGGAATGCTGGGGGGTGGACGCAGGAGGGGCTAGGACCAGGCGTCTCCAGCTAGAGCCCCAGGGATAATCTTAACTGCAAAAGTATTGCATTTGCTCCTGGCAGCATTCTGCCATCCTCTCTCCCACCCCACTCCCCACCACACACCTCCCATCACCATGACAACTGACCAAGGAGATTATCAGTGATGAGTCAGCCTGCCACTGGAACCTTGCACTTTAACACAGAGATTTGCACCCATCTTTCCCTCCTGAGCTCTCAACATCTCATGACCCTCACCTCCACTCCCTGATGCTTGGCTTATACAAATATCAGGGCCACACAGATCCTTGTATCAGCTAAGAGGAAGGTGAAAGGGAAGAGGAATAAGGGCTGTGGCCAGAGAGGGCTGCCTCATAGATGAGAAAAGGCACGAAGGCAGAGGGAGGCCTCACTCCTGGAGCACGGTGGGTGAGAAATACTGACCAGAGCTGTCAACGCCTGGGCTTCATTACTTAGCTTGAAAGCCCAGGAGAGCTCTGTGGGTTCAGACTGATGTCATCCTCATCAGATAATAGGGACATTTCCAAAGAGGCTCTGATCGATCAATCAGGGGGTGTTTACGGAGTACCTACTGTGTGTAAGGCTTGCTCAGAATGGTGGGAGAGAGGGAAAAACAGTAGGCGACGCCCTCGTGTTGAGTATAAAAGGAAGAGCTCAGGGTCCTCACTGAGGTGAAGATACTC